GGGGGGTTAGGTTTGAGGACGTACTTTTCCATATGGAGGGGAGTGCAGAACAATGTATATATATAGTCTGCTACATTTCTATGAGAAAGAATGAAAATAATGGTATATATGTGTATTTGCTTGTGCTTGCGTAAAGAAATACTAGAAAGATGCCCAAGAAACTATTAACATTGTTTCCTGTAGGGGTGGGGTTGGAACTGCATGAGGACAGAGATAGCAGGGAGCCTCTCTGTTCAATGTAACCCTTATCCTCTTGGTTTTTAAAAATGATAAAAGTATCATTATTCAATAACTTTTAAAAACAAAGTTTGAGATTATAATTTCAATACATTTAATCAAGTACTTGTTAGATTTATGTGCTCAGCATTGCTCTAATCCTGAAGATGCAAAAGCAGCAGTGGGATCTTTAAAAAAAACAAAAAACCTGAGAAACTAACACACGTGAAATTATCGCGTGTTAACGAAATTAGATTCACGAGGACTGGTGACCAAGCGTGGAAGAGATAAGGCCGGGAAGACCTTGCAGAGTCCTAATCGAGCGGAAGGGCTCCAGGAAAGAGGGACAATGCAAAGAGAAACGGAAATGCACAAGGAAGCGTGGACAACTCTATTTTATGAAAGCGCTTGTTTACAGTAAGAAGCCTCGGCTCTCGAGTCGGGCATTGCACCTACGGGCTGCGGCAAGAGGCGGGTTAAACCCAGCGAGTGTTGCGGGCACGGTCGGACCGTGCCATTCGGGGCGGGGGAGATTTCGTGAGGATGCGTGAGTCCACGGGATTCTCTTGGTGCCGTGCTCCAACTGGAACCACCCTAAGCGAACAATCGGGACGTGGAAAGGCAGGCCTTCCTCTGCTTTTCTCCGAGGTGGGTTCGGCCGGCCGGACGTTACGAACGTGAAGCGGTCTGCGTGCGACTGCGCAGTGAGGGGTTGAGGGGCCGGGCCCGGCGGCGCGCGCCTGCGCAGTGCGGGCAGAGAGGGGACGCCCGGCGGCGTGCATCTGCGCAGTGCGTAGGTGAGGGCCCGTGTCCTGTGCCGGTTGAGTGTGCTCGCGTGCGTCCTTGTTTAGTCTGGTTTTGGTTCATTTTTTTCCCGGGCGCAGACGTGCCACCGAAGGGGCCGAGGAGCCGCATCTGTGGGAGGAGAGGCGAGGTTCAGGTCGGGGCCTGGGGGGCGCGGCGCGTGCGTAGGCCGTGGCGCTGCGGGCGGCGAGGGGGCGCGGGGCTGTGGGGCTGGACAGTCTCGCCCGCGGGGGCGGGGTCCGAAGGAAACTCCCGCAGAGTGGGTCCCCGACTCCGCACGGACCCCGGCCGGCGTCTCGCGGCGTCTCAGGGACGTGCGGTTTTTTGGTATAAGAAGATAGTTCGACTTGAGTCTGCCAGCATAGTGGCAGCTCTAAAGCTTCCAAAATTGTAGGCATAGCATCCCAGCAGTTTGGAACTAGTTAATCCTGTGTGGGTTGAAATCGTTGTATTAAAATCTATTTTGCAAGGACAACAAACTACAGAAAACAATAGGCTGAGACCTATCCAAACCCTGGTGTATGTAGCAGCTGACGTTTACAATGACAGAACTAAGTGCAAAGATAATCTAGTCGGGTTGTTTTCAGTGAGGGGGATTCCCATCTTTATCCATCAAAAAAAAAAAGTGTTCACATATTTTAACACGGATACCCCCGCCCCGAATTTTTAGTACAGTTATGGGAACTAGAAAAATCCCCTCCAAAAACCTTACAGACTAATTACTAAAGACTTTGTATTTAGTTTTTTGCCCATGAAATTAAGTTTAGCCGTTTCTCTATAAAGTAGTGCTTCAGAAAATACTTTATCTCCCTGAATGGTGTAAAATGCAAGATCCATGACCTTGTGTTTTAGAAAACTTCATTTGCAATGTATCACTAGCAATTAAAATTTTAAAACATGATAAAATTAATTCGAACACGTTAGCAACCTTACTGTGTTTTCATCTCAAAAATACAGTAATTGAAATTCTATTCTGTACACCAATGTTAACCTGAAATGCATTTTTTCATATTCTGTGTGTTTGTCTATCAGAACTTTTTCCCTGGGAGGCACTTGGTTACTCTGCTTAAAATGTTCGTAAACTTAAAAATTTGGCTATTCCACGGTCACAGTGAAAGTTTTTTGAAAACTTTTTTTTTTTTTTTAAATTAAGTCTTTAAAAACTACAACGTAAAAATGGCTTCCAAAAGAGCTCTGGTCATCCTGGCTAAAGGAGCAGAGGAGATGGAGACCGTCATCCCTGTAGACGTCATGAGACGAGCTGGAGTAAGTCCCTCAACATTTTCTAGCCCTCCCCCTGTTAAAAATAGTTTTTGATTTTTAAAAGTCATTTTGAATAAAATTATTTAATTTACTTTGTGAAATATTTCAAACATACACAAAAGAGACTAATACTTGTTAACACTTTGCCATATTTCTTTCAGACCCATTTCTTGAAGAACAAATGCTTTAAAGAAATAAAGCATTCCAAAGCACTCTGTAAATTTCCCCAGTCCTGTTTCCCTTCCGACCCCAGAGATACAGCAGCATTAGACTGTAGTTCTCAACCTGCATGTCGGTATTATGTATCCATAGAGGTAGATGTAAACACGTAAATAGCGTTTACCAAGTGCTACGTACCATTCTTAGCGCTTATATAAACTTGTTTAAGTCTTACAACAACCCTGTGAGTTATCACTATCCTCATTTTACAGTTGAGGAAACAGGCACAGAGCCACCGAAATCAAGTGCCCACACCGTTAAGTTGAAGAGCCTGCACTCAGACCAGGGCAGTCTGGCCCCAGAGTCTGCTAACCCTCATTCCTCTAGTTCTCATAAGTGACAATACATATGGATCAGGTGGTTTATTTAAAATTACTGCTTAGTATTATTACACTGTATGAATATGCTGCAATCTATTTTTCTGAATTTATTCTTTTATTACTTTGTTTCACGGCATTACAATTCTGTAATATTCTTGTACAGGCCTCAGGCTCTATGCCCCCAAAAGGGGACTTGCTAGGCCACAGGACAGCCAGCCCCTTGTTGGCATTACTAGATTTTGTCAAATGACTGCGAAGTACCAACCTGTGAGACCACCAGCAGTGTAGGAAAATTCCCATTTTTCCTGTACCAGCTCTTAGTATTGTCAACTTTGTACATTTTTGCAAGATAAAGTATTATTTCTACCTTAAGAAAGTACCATGAGGTTGAAATGGCAACCGTAACTTTGCAAGATGGATTATTAATAGAATAATCAAGTAATTTATTGGCCAAACCGCAACACTTGTGGGAGAAAGGACAGTAACCAGGCAGGGTGCTGGGACAGTGTCTGTAAATCAGCACTGTCCCAGGCAAACTGGGACAGACCTTGTTATTAAATATATTTTGCAAGCTTATTAGCTTAAAGGCAGAATGGTTTTGTTGTGGGATTTCCTGCCAAGTTATTTTAAAACAGGGCAGCTGTGAATATGTTGCTCTATGTTTCAGTGTTCTTAAATATCATGATGACGTCTTTCTCTTAGATTAAGGTCACCGTCGCGGGTTTGGCTGGAAAAGACCCCGTACAGTGTAGCCGAGATGTTGTCATTTGTCCTGATGCCAGTCTGGAAGACGCAAAAAAAGAGGTTTGTTCTCCATACTTGGAATTACTTGTCTTATGGCTTCTTTATCAGTTTCTTGAAATGTCTTTTTACTACATCTAAGGCTGTTGTTAGTACAGACTTATTTTAAGAAAGTTGCTTTGCCTAATGCCCTCCCCTCAATGAGCCCTGGGAAGTGGAGCACTTGGCCTTTTTCCTCTCTGTATCCGCAAACCTTGCAGTTCCCTGATTCCTCATGAGCTCAGTAAGTGGGGGTTGGAGTTGGGGGTGGGGGGTGCGGTGGGGAGGGGGGCGTTGGTGGAGGCTGGGACCCTTTCATCAGTATTCTGGCTCACAGAGGCAGCCCTGCCTCCTGTTACAACTGTTTTACTTGATAAAAGAGAATCAGTGGCCACCTTCCCCATTCATTTCTGATTCTTTATTCAAAAGCTACTTTTTACCTTTCCTTTTTCAGTGACACAGAAATAGTTGGTGATTCATTTCATGTGGGACAACTCACACTTGATTAGTGGTTGGATTAAGGGAGGAGTAGGAGTTCCACCTAAATTATGTCACCACTTCAGTATTTTCAGAATTATGGTTCTTACTATTGAGGGCAACCAGCACTTTTGGGAAACTCAAGAACTGAGGTCCCTTTCCTCAGAAGCTCGCCCGCCCACACGTGCACAGACACTTTTGCACACCCTTTCATGGGGTGCAGGCTTCCCCGGCCTGTGTGAAGGGAAGGTGGGCTGTACCCTCGTGGAGTGGAGAGTTGGCGGGCAAGGAGGCAGAGCAGCTCGTGGATGGTCATTTGTGTCCTGGGGGAGCCTGGGAGTCTGATTCCCCATACTTAGCTGTCCGCAAATGCATAGAAAAAGGCTGATTACTTTTCAGTAGGTTCAGCTACTTCAGTGGTAGATTGTGGAGTGTTAGAATATTGGCACGTACCTGTAAATTGCTGAAACTTTCTAAGTAGCACGTTAAAAGGGGGAGTGGAAGTAGACATTCCTTCTCTTCTTTTTCATCCTATCATCATTTCTGGATGTTTTAGAACAGTTGTTACCTTTTGTATCTATTTGTCAGTTCTGATTTTAAAAGGAGTGAAAGAAATGCGATACTTTATATATATATATATATATATATATATATATATATATATATATATAATTTTTTTTTTAGTTTTTAATTTTGCTTGGTTTTAAAACAGTCGTTAAAAGTAATTCTAAACACTAAATGTTGCTCTAAATATGTACTAAATTTTTATAATTTGCTTAGTGACTAAAATTTTAAAACAAAATTTTTTAATATCTGAAAGTATTGTTAAACCTGTTCCATCTTGTAATTTCAGAAAGTTTGAAATCATTAAATTTCTAGGATGTTTAGATGTTTGGGATACTAAAATATTGTCTCCTCCCCAAGTTTCATTTTTCATAAAGTTAAAAAAATTTTTCTGTGCCTCTTAAAATTTGTTTTTCTTTTGATTATGTGTTATTACTATGTATATTCTTGTTGAAAAATAATTCATACAGTATAGAAATACATGAAGTCAAAATAGTAAACGCCCCTTTCCCATTCTCCCCTCCCCTGCATCCCACACCGCACCCTGTTAGCAGCTGGGGTATCCCCTTTGTCTCTGAGTATCTGTATACTATGCACATGTATGCAGGGGTGTATATAATATGCACATACATCTACATACATCCAGTTTTTTCTTTTTACAAGAGTGAGGTCATGCTACGCCTGCAGTTCTGCAATGTGGACACTCTTTCATGTTACTGTAGACAAATATTGTGCCGTTTTTGCTAGCTACAATAACACTCCGTCATAGAGATACACCTTAATTTATCTAATTGTTCTGTGAAGTTTCTTGCTATGAACCATATTTAAAATATGAAAATGTTAGTGACTGTCACTTTAATGCACATTTCAAATGAAAATGTTTTCACTTATTTTATTTTTTAAACTGTTACAGGGACCTTATGACGTGGTGGTTCTGCCAGGAGGTAATTTGGGTGCACAGAATTTATCTGAGGTAAAAACTATGTAAAGTATTTCAACATCTGCTAGTGTTCTGTTGATTTTGTTATTATTAAAATATTTCAGGAAGGAGGCTGTGAATAAAACAGGAATAGGTGAAATTAACATAATGGTGTTCTAACTGAATTTAAAAAACATTTCTAATGACATTTACTACATAAGTAAGCTGGGTCGGTGGAACAGTTATATATGAATGGATTTGGTGAATACAATTCAAATGTTAGACTACTTTTTTTCCCCCTTCAGCAGCAGAAGAAAATTTTTGTGTTTTATGAAGGGTTAAGCATAGAAAGATAAGAGATTGGCTGTCTATTCAGTGGGATTTGGGGGGGTGGTTGCAGGGGCTAGAACTGCCAGCTTGAAAGAAAAATGGCACCCAAAAAGACCACTGCTTCTTCATTTTAAGCCTCAAGTGAGGAGTCAGCCTACAGGGAGAGAGAGAGAGGAGGGAGGGCAGCGCCAACCAGCTCATGAAGCAGGTTGAATCGGACGTTTGGGACTGTAAGACTTCCTGACTCTGCCATCTGAAAACACCCAGACACCACATTCCCTCACTTCCATTTTTTTCTCCTTAGAGTACGAAATGGCCAGGGTCAGTGTGCCCAAAGAAAACTGCTTTTCTCATATGATCTTTAAACGTCTTTAAGAAAAAAAGGATGCCTTTCTAGTACAGGAAATGCCTTGATTGGGTTTAGGAATGTAGAAACAGTATGAGTTTGATAATTTTTAATTTGTGATATAGAAATATTGTTGAGGGCCGGCCAAGTGGCGTGTTGGTTAAGAGCTGGCTTGGGACGTCAGAGGGCCCCGGTTCGGATCCCACATATGAGGGCCAGTGACACTGCCCTCTACAGCTAAGATGCTGAACAACAGCTCAACCTGGAGCTGGGCTGCCGTGAGTCGCCCGCCACGGCGTAGGCTGCAGCCCCTGCTGCAGTGGGTTTCCATGGGCTACCGTGTATAGCCAGCAGCCAGCGTGAGTGGCCAGCAGCCGCCGTGAGCAGCCATCCAGAAGCCGGTGACTGATCTGCCTCACCCGGAAAGAGTGCAATGATGGTGCCAACTTGGGCCAGTGAAGCAACGTCCTCCACAATTAGACTGAAGAACAAAACGACAGCAACTTGTCTGTTCCCCTTCCCCCAATTCCCCAATTAAAAAACAAAAACAAAAACAAATATTGTTGAAAAATAGTTAAATTTAAGATCTTGTGGTTTAAGCTAAAATCTGATTCTACCAAAGTTTCTAGCCAGAGATTGGCTTGTGGCTTAATGTTAACTTGGTGCGTTTTTGGTTTTCTTTGAATAGTCTGCTGCTGTGAAGGAGATACTGAAGGAACAAGAGAAGAGGAAGGGGCTCATAGCCGCTATCTGTGCAGGTAATGTGCAGGCCATTTGTGTTGAAGCACGTGGTTGGTTTTCCTCAAAAAATGTGTCATGGGATAGGCTTTAACTGCAAGACTTTGTTGCAAATACCTCTTCCCCTTCATAAAGTGTGAGGGCGTCTGTGTCGGTGTGTTTAGTTTAGGCGCCATGAACGGGTGTCATTTCAGAAATGTGTGCAGTTGTTTTCTGCCTCTCCGCGCCTCTGGTCGACATGCTGTGAAACTTAGTGTTTTCTGTGTTTGGTTGACCTCAGAGGAAAATAAGGCCCTCTGGAATTCAGTAAACAGCTTGTTACAGCAAATCTCTGTGCCAGAAAGTACTTGTGCCAGCACCCAGTCAGCAAGAATCGGTCAGACTAAGCATAACAGCTCTGCCCTGTGCTTGCCCTGTGGCGTCAGAGGCCTCCGGGTGCTTCTGCCTGGGCCTTGTGCTGAGCGCTGGGTCTTAGGTGCTGTATTACCTGCCGCATCATTTATAATAGGAGAAGGTCGTTGGTGCTTCGTAGATGGCCCCACATCTTGATTTTGGTTTCTCTTTTGAGTTCTGATACCGTTTTATGAGTAAATCCATTCTTGCTCTAACATTAGATGGTGTTCTGCCATCTTGCATTTTTTTCCAGAGTGTAATTTTGACCAGTGCCTGCCTTATTATAGGTCTTCATTAAATGTCCGTCGAGAGAGAATAAATACACGAGTAAGTGGGTGGATTTGATAAGATGACACGGTGTTGTCTTTTTCTATACAATAGGCTTTTTTTTTTAAGATTTTTGTTGGGGAATTGGAGGAAGGCAAACAGACAAGTTGCTGTTCTTTTGTTCTTCAGTCTAGTTGTGGAGGACGTTGCTTCACTGGCCCAAGTTGGCACCATCATTGTGCTCTTCCCAGGCGAGGCAAATCAGTCGCCGGCTTCTGGACGGCCGCTCACGCTGGCTGCTGGCTACACACAGTAGCCCATGGCAACCCACTACCATGGGCTGCAGCCTACGCCATCGCCGGCGACTCACAGCAGCCCAGCTCCAGGTTGAGCTGTTGCTCAACATCTTAGCTGTGGAGGGCAGTGTCACTGGCTATCATATGTGGGATCCGAACCGGGGCCCTCTGGCGTCCCAAGCCAGTTCTTAACCATGGCACCACTCGGCCAGCCCTACAATAGGCTTTTCAAAACAAGTTATAGACTGGGGACGCTGGGGACTTTGTGTTAGAGCCGTGGTTCTCATAGTTTGTTCAGAGGGTTCAAAAGGTCAAAACAGATACTACTAAGACATTATTGGCCTTTTTCGTTCTTGTTCTCACAGGAGTGACAACAGAGTGTGATGTTGCCATTATGTGGGCCTGGCATGTGTGCTTGAGTATTCTTGTGGCATAAAAATTTCCCAGTTTTAATTTATAATAGGGCAGTTATTGATAGGTACAGCACACACAAAAGCTAAAGGGGTCCTGAGACCTTAGTGTTTGGAACCACTGCATTAGACTGGGAAAGACTGCGGAGGTGGCCGCCTTGCAGGTCATGTTCTTGGGTTCTGCTCAGCACCGCCTACTGATGTGCCCGTGGAGCATAGGGATTTATCTCTGCTGACGGGCACTGAAGTCACTGTGGCCCAAGCACCTCACCCCTCAGTGGGGAGGAAGTCGGAGTTCCTGTAAATTGTGTAAGGACTTAGTCCAACTGCCCTCGTCCCAGCCTCATTCTTAGGTGCTCTCACCAAAGGAAGAAAGGAAGGCTTTGGGCTGGGGCCGTTCCCCTTATGTCTGCTGAAAGTAAAAACCACATGTCAGTTTGTGCTGTGTCACTAGGGTGGTAGAGTTACCCACATCTGGTTCACTGTTTTGTGCTCAGGCAAGCTTGAATGCTTAGACTTAACAATCATTTAAATCATTAAAAATAAACAGCACTCTAACAGTGTTTGTATTGTTGAATGTCCTGCACTGCTCTTCTGGGTGCTGCAAAAACTAGGAAGAAGTGTGATGGAAAAATGGTGGTTCTTAAGTGTTGGAGTTAGGAATTGGGAACTGTTTATTGAATTGAAAGGATATTGGCTTAGTCCCTAATAGTGAATGAGAGAGGCCGAATTGGAAGGGGGACTTTCATGAGAAGAAAATGAAATGAGATGCACTCTGGGCGGGAAAGGGGGAGAGGAAGGAAGTCTGGAAATGAAGGAGCCAGCAGCTGTCAGATGCCAGCCTAGGCACAATCTCCGGGAGCCCTGGAGGGGCTGGGGGTGGCCGTGGTGTCCTTTCTGTTAATCACCACACGGTGGCGCTGGTGGCTCTCTCTTGGCTGCCCAAGGGGATTCTGTCCTCAGTGCCCTCTGCCTCCTGCTCAGAGCTGGGTCCCTGCTGCAGACTCAGCAGCATTTTCATCCATCAGAATTTCAATAGTGGTGAAATGTCTCTTCTCTAGTTTTCCAAATAGGATTTTTAAGCCCCAGAAAGCAGTAATCACGAGCTTACCATATGAGTAAGACATCATCAGTAAATTCCTACATTCAACTGTAGCACACATTTATTGAGTTACTGTAGGCAGCAATTTTCTCACCTGTGGGGAGCAGCTTAGAAACCCCTAACTCGCTGTGCGACTGCTCTCCTCACTGTACAATCTTCTCTTGAGGTATTCATTCAAATTAAAATTGAGTGATAATGATGCAGTTTTTATAGACTTTTAAATTTGCTGCCATACATAGCTGTCTCATTGAGGATAAAAGCAACAAGGTGGAGAGCGACATCAAATATATTTGAGGCTTTTGATTTAAGAAAAGTCAGCCAGTGCTTGGTCTGACACTGACATCTGATACGAGGCAGAAAGCTTATGTAATTGCATATTTATTTGATCTTCCTTCGTAGCAGCTCTGATCCTGTGATCAAAGCAGCCTGTTGGTATATTACATAACTACGGTAAAACCTTGGATTGCGAGTGACTTGGTCTGCGAGTGTTCCATAAGACGATCAGACATTTCTAATACATTTTAACGTGGTAAATGAGCAATGTCTTGCAATACGAGTAGTTTGTTTCTGGAACGAATTATGCTCGCAAACCAAGGGATTACTGTACTTTTTACTTGGGTTCGTGTTGGAAAATGAAAGGTCAGTAAGAGCAAGTGCTGGGGTTCTTGAAGCTCAGGTGCACAGACTGCCCTAGGGTCTTAGCCACAGTGCCGACCACTCAAGGTCAAGGTGCAGTTCTAAAGCATGGTTTTCTAGGTGTCACGTGAGGCCTTTGTTTTGTGGCTTAGAGAAAAAAAGGTAGAATAACTACTTTTTTTTTTTTTTTTAAAGATCTTTATTGGGGAATTGGGGGAAGGGGAACAGACAAGTTGCTGTCNGGATCCCACATATGAGGACCAAGGACACTGCCCTCTACAGCTAAGATGCTGAACAACAGCTCAACCTGGAGCTGGGCTGCCGTGAGTCGCCCGCCACGGCGTAGGCTGCAGCCCCTGCTGCAGTGGGTTTCCATGGGCTACCGTGTATAGCCAGCAGCCAGCGTGAGTGGCCAGCAGCCGCCGTGAGCAGCCATCCAGAAGCCGGTGACTGATCTGCCTCACCCGGAAAGAGTGCAATGATGGTGCCAACTTGGGCCAGTGAAGCAACGTCCTCCACAATTAGACTGAAGAACAAAACGACAGCAACTTGTCTGTTCCCCTTCCCCCAATTCCCCAATTAAAAAACAAAAACAAAAACAAATATTGTTGAAAAATAGTTAAATTTAAGATCTTGTGGTTTAAGCTAAAATCTGATTCTACCAAAGTTTCTAGCCAGAGATTGGCTTGTGGCTTAATGTTAACTTGGTGCGTTTTTGGTTTTCTTTGAATAGTCTGCTGCTGTGAAGGAGATACTGAAGGAACAAGAGAAGAGGAAGGGGCTCATAGCCGCTATCTGTGCAGGTAATGTGCAGGCCATTTGTGTTGAAGCACGTGGTTGGTTTTCCTCAAAAAATGTGTCATGGGATAGGCTTTAACTGCAAGACTTTGTTGCAAATACCTCTTCCCCTTCATAAAGTGTGAGGGCGTCTGTGTCGGTGTGTTTAGTTTAGGCGCCATGAACGGGTGTCATTTCAGAAATGTGTGCAGTTGTTTTCTGCCTCTCCGCGCCTCTGGTCGACATGCTGTGAAACTTAGTGTTTTCTGTGTTTGGTTGACCTCAGAGGAAAATAAGGCCCTCTGGAATTCAGTAAACAGCTTGTTACAGCAAATCTCTGTGCCAGAAAGTACTTGTGCCAGCACCCAGTCAGCAAGAATCGGTCAGACTAAGCATAACAGCTCTGCCCTGTGCTTGCCCTGTGGCGTCAGAGGCCTCCGGGTGCTTCTGCCTGGGCCTTGTGCTGAGCGCTGGGTCTTAGGTGCTGTATTACCTGCCGCATCATTTATAATAGGAGAAGGTCGTTGGTGCTTCGTAGATGGCCCCACATCTTGATTTTGGTTTCTCTTTTGAGTTCTGATACCGTTTTATGAGTAAATCCATTCTTGCTCTAACATTAGATGGTGTTCTGCCATCTTGCATTTTTTTCCAGAGTGTAATTTTGACCAGTGCCTGCCTTATTATAGGTCTTCATTAAATGTCCGTCGAGAGAGAATAAATACACGAGTAAGTGGGTGGATTTGATAAGATGACACGGTGTTGTCTTTTTCTATACAATAGGCTTTTTTTTTTAAGATTTTTGTTGGGGAATTGG